AACGAGTTGCCTGGCAGTATGTTTGTGAGTGGAGGAGTACAGCGTTGCCGTTGAGTGCGTGCTCACGTCGAACCTGAACGAGTTGTCTAGCACTTTCCCTTGAAATGTGACTTTGATTTTGGCAGTCTTTGCAAGATACAGAATCCGGACCTGCCGGAAAAGCAGGTTTAACACGGTATTTACGATACAAAACGAGGGTCGGTAGTTCCGGGGGGGGGGCTACCAACGGTATCTACCCACCTGAAAATGTCCTAGATGTTGAGATTGAGATGATCTCTTGCACTCGCTGTTCATGAACCTATGAAACATCCGATCCTGTGTTTACCTGGTGTCGCTCGCCGTAGTAGCGCATGCAAAATAGTCATTTTAGTTCCTCCTAAAGCCCACTTCAAACCCGGAACCCTGAACCACAAACACTGAAGCCTAAACCCTAAACCCCAACCCCAAACCCTCAACCCTAAACCCCAAACCCTAAACCCCCAACCCGAAACCCCCAACTCCAAACCCTAAGCCCCCTTCGTCGTCTTCCTCTTCGCCCTCTGGTCTGACACCCTGCTCGCTGCGCCGAAGAACCGAGGTCTTAAGTCTTACTCAAGCCAAAGCATAAGGGCTTCTATAATTTTGACGGCTTAGGGTTTAGGGTTTAGGGTTTAGGGTTTAGGGTTTAGGGTTTAGGGTTTAGGGTTTAGGTTGTACATATTTGAAGGATCATGGGACTTAAGAACTAAGGCTATAAATAGGGTAACTCTACTTGAAACTACTTACAATCGATTCCTTACAGGGACCGTAGCTATTAGATTATGGTTCCTGTAATTGTTTAAGGGCTTTCGTGCTTTATGAATTTAAAAGTATAAGGGCCTCAATAACTAGAACAGGAATTTGGGGGGGTGCCAGTTTGCAGCCCCATTGAACAAGCTTGACCCTAAGCCCTAAAATCCTAGACTCCCTAAACCCAAAAACCGAAGCCCTGAACCGGAACCCCTCATACAACCCTTCTAGAACCCATAGTGTAGGACCTTTCAAACCTGAACACACCCTAAACCCTACTAGGGACACCATAAGCCCTAAACCCTGAAACCCTAAAACTCTAGAAAGAAAAATCAAAAGGATCCGCCTCGCGCTCGATATCCAAGCTCAGTGTCTGCTGCGACACGCAGGCCTGCCGTTGTCTCTCGCGCTTCTGGAAGATAAGGGTTGAGGGTTTAGCGTTTCGGGTTTAGGGGTTAGGATTTAAGGGCCTAGCGCTTCGGGTTTAGGGTTTAGAGGTCTAGGGTTTAGTTTTCAGGGTTTAGGGGTTTAGGATTCATAGCAGCTGAGCCAGGGTTCAGGGTTGAAGGCTTCGGGTTCAGGGTTTTGGGTTTAAGGGCTTGGGGGTTTTAGGGTTTAGGATTTTGGGTTTAGGGTTTTGGGTTTAAGGGTTTGGGGGTTTAGGCTTTAGGCTTTAGGGCTTAAGGGTTTTAGGGTTTAGGGATCTAGGGTTTAGGGTTTAGCCTCCCGACCGAGCAGTTTCGGAGGTTTTCCCTCGCGCCTTTGCCCTAGAGATCCGAAGGATAGAAGAGGTAGGAGTGTCATTGGGGTTTAGGGGTTTGGGGTTTAGGGTTTAGGATTTAGGGTTTAGGGTTTAGGAATTAGGGTTTAGGGTTTAGGATTTAGGATTTAGAGTTTAGGGTTTAGGGATAGGGTGGGGTTTTAAGAGCTTTGCAAAAGGGTCCAAAGGGTTGCTATGTAGGTTAGCATTTCGGGGGGAGTGTAATTACTAGGTCCCGAATAGTTTCTCATCGTAGAGCATCTGGACCGACTTGATGTAATCAGGGTCAACATCGCTGGAGCACTCTTCGCTAAATACCGCCGTCCACAAAGGAGAACCTAAACCCTAAACCCTAAACCCTTGACCCTAAACCCTAAACCCTAAACCCTAAACCCTAAACCCTAAACCCTAAACCCTAAACCCTTGACCCTAAACACTAAACCCCAAACCCTAAACCCTAGACCCTAGACCCAAAGCGGCCCAAAACCCAAAACCCATTCTAAACGGACAGTGCTGCTCCGAGTGTGACCTGCAATTCGGCTTTGGCGCCTGATGCTCGGCCGCCAAGCCGTCAAACGGCTGGGGAAGGCTAAACCATAAACCCAACACTTTGGGTTCTTTTGAGGGTTTAGGATTTAGGGCGTGAGGGCTTTCTGGCTTTAGGATTAATGTAGGGGCCTTAATAGTTAGAATATGGCTTAGGGGCCCATTATACTATAGTTATAATACGGAACCTCCAAAACAGTATTGGTAGTTATTTAGGCTTCTAGATTGAGGGTTGGGTTTAGTCCAAACTCTGAGCCCCAACCGCATGTTGAGCTGGACCTGGATCCCAAAAGCCTCGCCACTCAAAACCCGAAAACCCTCAGCCTGCACCCTAAATCCCCTCCGGTTTGTTTTTGTCAGTGCCATGCGCGCATGT